TAGGGAAGGGAGCAGCGATATTTTGGGCCAGTCATGAGGATTGAGAGCGAAGGAGAGGTGAAAGTAAACAAGATGAAAAAAAGACGAGGAAGAGATGTGTGGATTGAAGTCGTGGGAAGGTCACGCACAAAAATATATAGCTAAAAATATGGAGATGATGTCGAGGAATTGGGAGATTGACAAGGTGTGAGAGACATCAAAAATAGCCGACTTCATGGCTAAACTTGCCCTTTCCCCTCAACCTAATGGATGAGGGGTTGGCGCGCCTGCCCGGCAGTTCCTCTGCTGGTCAGGTGAGCCAACACCTCAGCCATTAGGTTTTTGGTTCGAGCCCTGTACGGTACGCCCTTTTTCCTGCCTTAAAATCTTATCGCATTTCACTGATTTCGCACTCGCGTCCTCTATTTTTTTTTTCTATACGGGGGCCTCTAGGATTTTATTTTTCCTTACAGGTTTTCTACGGATACTACCTATGTATTGGTCTCACATCCGCTGCTGAATCATGGATACGCATCAATTTGCGATTTTTCATAATGTCTCGTACTCAAGGCCGACATCTCAGCACTCAGCACCTATCCTATCCAGCAGAAGAGGAGCACAATGAGCACACAATGAATCAATGAGCAATGCTACGCTCTTTTCAATAATGCTACGCTTTTTTAAATCAAGAATTTCAGCGAGAGGATTACAAAGTGCGTCTACTAGCTTGTCTTGGCCTACTCATGAATACCGAGCTGCTTTCTCCCAGATCCTTCGCGCGCGCCAACCTTCACATGGGAGCTCTTGGTTGACTTCGCTTTCCTGGCCGATTCCGCTTTTTTTTTGGCGCTGCATCGTAGTCAGCTTCCCGAAGAATTGGAGGTTAAGAAAGTCACGCACTCGGTCGCGGCGGCCTTCTTCTCGTCCCCTCGCTTGTGACTGGTGCGCGAAGCCGCCAGCCGAGCCAGCAGTACGGCGTCGGGATCTTGTTCTCGAATGTTGCGCTCCCTCTTGATGCGCGCAATGACTTTCGAGGGAGCCGCGCTGTGGGTGGCAGTTGTCGGGACGCGAGGTGCTGCAGATGCGCTGGCAGATGCGCCGGGAAACGGCATGCTTGGGAGACGGACGAGTGAACCGTCGACGGCACACCTCGAGTGGATGGCCTCGACACGTCCCGGGACGAAGGTTACGACTCGCTGGGGCTGTAAATCGATGATGTTGGGTTCGACGCGCGGGGGGTTGTGGATGGAGCAGGCGCGACGGCGGGCGCGGCTCTCGTGGAAATCCTTCCACCAGCTGCTGGAGTGAAGAACCTCGTAGTCCGGACGCATGAGTGCGATGATGAAGCGACGTATGCCCAATTAGGCACCTCGCGCACTCATCACGCATGTCTCGCGCACTCATCACGGATTGGTGCTTCGAGTTGTACCTCGACTGGCTTGCGACACATTAGCTCTATTCATGTAGACTCTCGTCCACTTAAAGAATAGGATATGAAGATACATACCCCAAAAGGCCCGGAGTGAAACATGAGAAATAGTCTCGTCGTCGCCGTCGCCGTCGGGCGTGATTTTGGTGCAAAATGGGACACGAAATCTTGAATAGCGTCTCGTAGAAAGCGAATTCAAATAAAGTAAAAAGAGGGTCGGAATGGGGTGGGGTGAAGGTTTGTGCCCACCAAAAACGATTTTGAACGGAGGTGGTCGAGCTTTTGAGGATTGGACTCGATGGGTCCATAGGCCAAAGTACCAAACTTCTCGAGATTTCTTGCTCGAAAAACTTTTTTCCTCGAATGGTCCTAAAAAAATCACAGATAAATCAGAAATAATTCAAAACCCCCGAATCCCAAGTTCCAGATGGCTAAGAGTGAGGAGTGAAGAGCGGGAAATAAAAGACTTGGTTTTGGGTCCCATTTCGGTCATGGCCGGCAATTGCCGGTCAGGCGCCAGATTGGCGCTTAACTCTTCTCTCGCTTCTCCTCCACGCTCTTTTTGTTATCTGCCGCCCCAATGCCTCCCAAGAAGCCTCGCGCCCCGCCCGCTGAACCTTTGATGCATGGCATCTACTGCCACCGATACTACGAAAAGTATGTCGCAGTATCAAACTTCAAAAGTCATGCGACTGACGGATATGCGACCCCCCAGAAATCGCGAGGAGATCAACGAGAAGACGCGCGACCGAATGCGCCGCCTCAGGGCCTCAGACGTGACCGTTCCTCCGGAGGTCCTTGCTGCCCGACTTGAAGCACGCCGTGCAGCCGCAAAGAGATACAGACAGCGGTATGTTCTCTACCTACTCCATCTCGATTATCGTGCATCTGATACCTCAAAGGCATCAACACCAACTCAAGATGAAAGCTCGCGAGGCCCGTGCCCAGGCCGCGGAAGAGCGTCGCCACGCCAAGTGCGTTGCTTGCGATTCGTCTCATCATCTCCCACAACTCACATATTCCAGGGAAAAGCGGGAACGGAGGGAGCGGAGGGAGGCAGCGCGCCGGCGTGCGGCAGAGTGCGCCGAAACCGCATCTCAGTGAGCGCGCGCCCTTTTTGAATTGTCACCACATTACCACGAGTTACACCTATCGATCAATCCATTTTTCTTGACCGTACCACATCCTTCTGTCAGTGCGTCGTACTTCAAATCTCTCGCTACGCTTCCAACTTCTTTCCTACCCTACAGATTGAGTGATTTGAGCACAAGATGTCAACATTTTTAGCCCTCGATGGTAGTTTTTGCCTCAATCGCCGCGATAGTGACGAGCGTTATCTGGCACAAAGGCAGGGGAATTGGGACCATGTGGGCCGAACGTGCGTTATACATCCTCTTACAACCCTCCATATCGTACTAACGAGCAATATCAAGCTCGGGCGAGGGCGTCGAGACCTTCTTCACCGATCTGCGGCTTCGTCTTCGTCAGACGTATACGGAGGAGGTCAGCGAGGAAGACGCCCTGCGCCTCATCCAATACGAAACCTTCATTGTGTTCAATGCACTCCGCCTGGCTCTCGAATTGCAGGCGCAACAAGCGAGGGCCGCGAGACTCTAGGGTCCACGACGCCACGACATTTTGTTATTCCTACACGCCTTAACCAAATAAATTTTTTTCCGAGCACTTTGATTGTGATTGTGAGCCGCGCCATGGACCGAAGCCCACGCAACGTGGATCTACAACGCGGGGAGCGCAACATCAATGTCGACTACTTGATAGATCCTGCCAGTCGCGTGTAAGTCGTTAGCGGTGCCGTACCCATCGCTTGCCACTCGCTGACATTGATCCAGAACAGTTCCTGCCGAGTTTGCCATAAGTTACGACGTGTCCTCTCATTATCGCCCCCGCCCGGATCCTCTACGTCCATGGATAAACCTGCTGTATGTGCTGATCATCCCGAATAACTGAGCATCGTGACATCTAAGTACGACAGAAATGAGTACATCCGCGAGCTAGTCGCCCAAGACGAACGGGAGTTGCGTGCCCAAGACGAACGCCTCGTGCACCAAGATCATCTCACCATCCTCTCATCGACGACGTTCTGTCAATTCATTCGCTGGTGGCTAGCTGAAGAACCTGCACATGGCCGCCGAGGAAATTCCAGACTACCAAGAGTGGAGAGATTATGGGTGTGCATGTTCATGCGCGCGTTATGGCTTGGGTTCTGGCGTAGGTGAGTTACATTGCTGCTGTTGGATTTGTGCATGGGCTGACTTTGCGTTGAGTATTGATCAAGCATGGGCGGCGCGCCGCCGAGCTTTTATTGCTGTGACGTCGGAGCAGGGGATATGGGCTGATTTTACTGGGACTCTTTACAATGCCCTCATACATATCGATGTCTACATAGAATAAGTACAATGTTTCGTAGAGTAGTCTGCCATGGAAAATGCGGCCTTTTCTTCACGTGACGACTGACCCGTTTCTCATCTTCTCGCTTCGGTTCTCTGGTCGTTCTTATGCTGCTGTTCGGTTCTCTGCTGGGTTTCTCGTTGACTCAATTCTCAAGCTCTGCCAGCCCTTCCTTCGCGCGCTATGGGGGAATCTAGGTACCCCGTTTTCAGATACTTTCCGCGGCGCGTCAATCCAATCACTCACTTTCAATCTTGTACTTCACGCCTCTATGCGCCGGAGATCACTTATCGGAGGGATTTGGGTGAAGTATGGACTGTCGAAAATGGGAAGTTCGACGGGATCCACATCGACTGGCAAGCGAAAGAGGAAGCAATCGAGGGTTATCCGGGCGCGCATGCGGCTTTACACAAGAGCGTGGAGCTTGCCCTCCAGCATCTCGCTGCGAGGTGCGAAGCGGGCCACCACCTCACTTGCCAGCTGCGCGTCAAGGAGGAGATGTGCCCTTCAACTGTGGCTGACGACCTGGGGGATCTACATTGTGTCGACGGCGATGTCGACGCATATTACGCGCTCAGGGCAATGAAAGGAGGCGATGGGTTGTATATGGTGTATGCTGTCTCGGACAACGGTCGAATAATGCAAGATAGGTATGTCGTGCAACCCCAATAATCTCACTACTGTGGATGCACTGACAATTCCTAGGACTACGGCCTTAGGTTTATTCCAGCGCGCGGGGGGGTCGCATCGCGACCGCTCTGACAATCGGCCAGGCCTTCGACATTTTCTTCACATGGGGAAACGTCCCTGTTGAAGCCGCAAAGTTTGTGACGGCCACCGGCAAAATTACCAGCAAGGAGGAGGCAGAGGAATTCCAGCGCCTGAACGGGGGCGACATTTTCATCTGCGCAACCCAAGGCGACGCAGAATGTACCAGCCTGCTTTGCCAGGACGAGCTGGACTCCCTCGCCCTCTTCGAGAAGCGGCAGCGTGCCTGATCTTTTTTTTTGGGTTATTTCGTCGCGTTTTTTTTTTTGGTTTTGCTCTTGCTTCTTAGCCACAGTCAAAATGTACATGTATAGCTGCTACTATTACCCAGATGAAGGAACCAAGATGATTGTCCACCAATTTCCCTCGAAAGTGCCGATACCTATTGAAACTTCGCGTAGAAAAAAAGTAAAGGTAACCCCGCTCAGATTCCAACTGAGATCGTCGCAGATAAATTTCCGTACCTAATCGATAATCCGGCTGCGACATACTACCGTTGTACTACGAGGTCCCTTTTATTTCCTGGAAGTGGTGGAAGACCACGTGAAATGTTGTCCACCGATTTTCCTTCAAGTGGAAGATCACGTGCAACGTTTTCCACCGAATTTCCTCCGCGTCCAAACGCGTCCTCCACATCCTCGAGCTCACAATGTCCACTTCGCGCAGGCCCCCAAAGCGCCGGATCCCACAGACGGAGATCCACGAATGGACACTCGAGGAGGTGGAGGAAGCCGGCTCATTTTCATCTCAAGCAATCTCCTCCGACCAACGGCGCACCCACGAGACAACGCACCGGGTGGACCTTCCCTCTCCATTGAAGAAGAAGCGCAAGCGTGTAGAACTTGATCCAATCAACGAGTTTGGGCTCGACATCGAGTACTCATTCGAAGATCTGGCGCCCCCAGTTCCACGGGCAGTCCCTCCAGCCCCTGCTATAAAGTCGCGCGCGAAACGTTACCTCTCTTCGGTAAGTCCAGCCTTTGAGAAAAGTGAGTTAATACACTGATGGAACATCCATTCCTCAGGACGCACCTCTCGCGCAATGGGTCCCTCTCCGGGATGAATATCTCGCAGAATTTTTGCATCTGGAAGGACGAGGCACTGTCTCGCACGATTTTTGCCCTGCTTGCCCGCGGGGACGCGCGACGCCCAACCCCCTGTACCGTTGTATGGATTGCTCCAACGCCGACTTGTTGTGCGAATTGTGTTGCCTTGCAGCTCACGCGACTCATCCGCTGGATCGTATTGAGGTAAGCCCGGCCTCTGTGAACGGAAAACTTTTCTAACATCGAATAGCGTTGGACAGGAACTTACTTCGAACGCATCACCCTGAAGTCCATGGGCCTGCGCGTCCAGCTCGGCCATTCCGCCTACACCACATGCGCCGATCCCCGCCCCGGTCACGAAGAGTTCGTGGTGCTCAACTGGAACGGGCTCCACAACGTAGCGGTCGATTTCTGCGGATGCACCGATGCCCATGTCGCGGGCTCACGACGCCAACAGCTACTTCAAATGTCGTGGTATCCATCAACACACACCGAGCCGCAGACCGCCGCGACCTTCCGAGTCTTGGAAATGTTTCATATCATGACACTTCAAGGGAAGGTGACAACGTACGACTTTTATTCCGGCCTCGAGAAGATGACAGATAATACGGGGATATGCAAAATGAAGGTACGTAGATTACGGTCGAGGGGATGATTATTACTGACGTCTCTTTGACATAGGATCGCTACAAGTCCTTCATGCGGATGATGCGGGAATGGAGGCATCTTTTGATGCTGAAACGTGCAGGGCGGGGGAACGATACAGAGAGAAAGGTAGCCGAGACGAAGGCTGGCGAGCTAGCGGTGACTTGCCCCGCATGTCCCCAACCCGGCGTCAATCTCCCGGAGGATTGGGCCGCCGCAGAGGGGACAAGGAGGTGAGTAATGTATCTTTACTGGCGGAGATCTTAACTAACCATCGTTGAACAGATTTCTTTACATCCTATTCATCGCCATCGACGCCTGCTTTCGTCTCAAGCGCCGGCTGGTCTCGAGTGAGGCGAAGGACCCCGCGCTGGGAAGCGGATGGAGCTATTTTACGGAGGATACGGCATACAGAAAGTACCTACTAACCGTCACCGACCAGAAAGAGGTGAGCGCGAAACAGACGAAAGTGCGAAAGATACTAACGGATCATGCAGATGAGTACATGCAGCGGTCTTGCTGCCCTGGACTATGCAAACACGAAATTCTCTCGCGGTTACGGAGCGACTGGCGTCGGCCTCGGTGTATGTGCAAGACACGAGTTCGTGCAAAAGAATGGTGCGGGCGATTTGCAGAAGGGAGAGAGGTACATTTATTTTCCTTTGGCTGATACTGGGACTCAGCTGATTGTGATTCAGATACGCCAATATGGACTATATATTCGCTTCGCTACTCCTACACCACCACCCCGGCCTCCTCAAGTATATTTCGTACGATATCTGCTGTCAATGGAGTAAAAACTTAATCGAGCGCCTGAAGAAGCTCCCGAACAACATTCGCCTGACCATCGTCATGGTGTTGGTATTCCTCATTCCAAAACTCCACATCTACGGCCACAAGCTGCTCTGTCAGCTCCTGTTCTCCCTCAATTTCACTCTCGGCTCGGCGCGCACAGATGGGGAGGGCATTGAGCGGCCCTGGGCGAATATCGGCCCCGTGGCGACCAGTACGCGGGAGATGGGTCCTGGGTCTCGCCAGGACACACTCGAGGACCACTGGGCCCATTGGAATTGGGTGAAACTCATCGGGCTTGGTATCCTTCTGCGGAAGCGACTCCTAAATGCGGTCAGCGAGCGGAATTTCCAGGAAGACTCGCTCGCGACGTTCACGGAGAACCAGGCGGAGCACATACCTGAATGGAAGGCCATGGTTGATGCCTGGGATGCCGACCACTCGAAGCCGAATCCCTACGAGCACCCGAAGACAGGTGTGTGAGGTCGTGCACGAGAAAGGCTTCCGCTAACCGGACCGACGCCAGGTGTAACCGAGCACGACGTGCGGCTCGAACTCGCGCTGGAAGAGGCCCTGGATGGTGCGCCGATCCACGACGTTACCCCCAGCCAGTTTGTATTGGCCGGACTTGACCTGGAGGAGCAGCAGTAAGTGAAAAACACCACCTTTTCCATCCAGCAACTAACTCCTCCATTCGCCATTAGACGCCGCATGCGACTGGAGGTCGAAACTCGGAAGGATCTCAGTACCAAGCAGACCGCCGAGATGCTTGAGAAGCGTACCAAGCTTGGTCGCTACACCGCCCGCTTCAGGACGCTCCAGGCGGTGTACACACCGGCGGCGCTGCAGGCGCTGGCAGAGCTCCCCGAGCCAGCGACAGAGGGAGCGGTTCGTATCGAAAATGTCCCGCTTTTCCTTCCGTCGGCGCTGTCCGAATCGCAGCGCGCCTCTGGCTGCTTCAAGGGCGTAGCAAAGATGGAGGAGAGGTTGCGCGATGCGCAGTGCCGCACCTCGCTCGAGGAAATCCGCCACCTCCTCCACATAAAATCCCGATTTCGGACGTACAAGGGTGGTCAAGTTCGCCATCAGGGCTCCACAACGCGCTCGCGGAACCTGATGGGCCGGCACGACGAGAAGATACGGATACAGGGGGAGAAGTACGTCGCGGCTTGGGAAGCCAAACGCAGGCTCGTTGGAGATGCGAACGTGGGATGGCGGCGGTTAAACCCAAAGAAGGATTTGTGATGCATGGACAGTGAGGAGGATCGGGCGCAGCGGAACGCACGGAAGGTGTTAGGCGGAAAGCGGGGGCGGGGCGAACCGGCCACAGCGGAGGACAAGGCGGACGGGGTCGCCGAGGGACAAAGACGAAAGGGGAAGACGGGCGAGGGAAAGAGGACAATTTCTTGGATATGGATGGGCACGGACTCGTCTGCCAGCGCAACGGATAAGGCGATTCTGACGGGTAAGCCGTTTTTTTTTCAGAACTTGTGATAAATTGCTGATCTGAGACTAGCCCTGCGTGTGGAGTGGGCAAAAGCATTTGCGAGGGTGAAGCGCTGGACGGAGGAGGTCGATCTCCTGAAGGAGGAGATGCGACGGGTACCGGTTACGCTGCGCGCAAAGGCGGCGTGGTGGGATGGTAAAGCCGTGCTGGAGGGGTCATCGCTGGAGCACACGGAAGGAATGCGGGCGTACGGCGCACGTCAGGGAAACCTAATGCGTCGCCTGGCAGCGCACTTCGAGGTTATGTGGGCGGGACTAGCCGATATCGAAAGTGTCCCGGGTGAGGTTGAGCGGCGCGCGGCGGAGCTGGAGGGTGCGCATATCGACGACGACGACGGCGATGGGGAGGGCGACGGGAGCGCCGACGGCGAGCCAGAGGGAGAGGAGCGGATGGAGGGCGATGACGAGGGGTCATTGGGCGGCTCAGATGGGGAGGGAGAGGAGTAGCGGTACGGGAAATTCACGGAAAATGTATTCTGAATGAAATCATGTGACCGCATCGAGCCCGCGGAAATCGCCCATGGAAATTGGGCCGCGCAGCCGTGCGCTGCCGAAACCACCACAACGGCAGCCCAGCCCAGGGAATGCTGCCGCAGTGCCGCCAGCAAGCCCTTTCTGATGGCCAAGCTGTGCGGACCGTTGTCGTGAAACATTGCAAATGGGACACTGACAGCCCTCGGGTACATTTGTATTGGTACTACAACATTGGCTGGGGTGCCAGAGTCGGTGCCTCCGCTCCGGACATTCTCCCGGCGGCATTTACACCTAGGATTTTCGCGCTTGTCAGCGCGATCATACGGACTGGGAAGTTTTCATACCTCGGTGCACGATCCCTGGTCAGCGAGAGAGCGCCGTATCGGACATGGGAGCGGGAAGGCATTGGAACGGGCTTCTGGAGTTCTTGAAGTGGCAGGTGCGGGCGCGCGAGAACGCACTTGAATTCTGCTAAATTCAAAAATAATTCTTCCGTGAGCTTCGAGATTGGGAATCTTTGACTCACCTGGTCAAAAACACGTCTACGGCAACGCGAACTCGATGGCGACTCGAATCAGGGCGCCCCGGGACATCCGAATGGATGATATCCGTCAAGGAGTTTTCCTACACGACAATTATGCCGACTTTTTCAGCTTACTCGTCAAGTTTCATTCTGATATTACATACCTATGACCCTTAGTGGGCAAGAAGGACGTCGCAAATTCGATTCACGCGAACGGGGTCTTGGGGGCTTGATTTCGCGATTTTCGGTGTTGCATCGAAAGACGCGTGGAAGCGCTCAATTTGGACCGACGAGTGAAAAGGATCCGAGGAGGTAGAGAGTGTGTATCGAGGGCACAGCGCGAACGGGCTCCGTTATTCGCGAACGAGAATCCGGCGAGGAAGGACTTGAATCAACGGGAAGAGCCAGGGAGTGTTGTTTGGTCCCAAGCCCGATATCCCTTGGAACCAAACAAACACTCCCCTCCACTTCCGCTTTCCGTCCAGTTACTGCTCGTGGCACCTTGTTTTCGGGTCCTTCTTGCAT